AATTGTCTGTAAAGAATTGAAAAGCCTTTGGCAATAATGTACACCCTTCAGCTTTAATTCCCGGCCTTGATGCTCCCTCCTGAAATATACACAGAACTGATTTTGTTTTCGGTAATTTTCTGAGCAGAGCAAGTTTCAGCTGGTGTGGGGGTATGACTAATCCACAAAATAAATACCTCTCTTTATAAGACAAAAAAGCGATGGAAAGCGATAAAACAATGTGAGACGTTCAGGAGAGCTTAAATCCTTTCACCGTGCCCACCCCTTCCTTGAGAAGATTTGTCTTCACTTCCTGTACCAGTTTCCCCAGGGCTTTGCTGTGAGCTGTACATATTGTTTTCTTTTTGTAATGCAGACTGCAATAGAGTCTACAAAGGCATTAATGTTGCATGGGCTCCAGTCAGGGGAAACAGGAAGTTCAGCTCAAGGCAAAGCCCCAGGTATTTCCTGGACAGGAAATGAGGTAGAATCCAAGCTTGACTGGCAGTGCAAAAAAAGTCAGGGACTTTGACCGTTCTTCCTTCAAAAAAATGTTTTGGCTGGTGTTCCCCTTCTGTCTTTTAAATGGAACCTTCAGGCAAACAGCTAAATACCCAATTGAAAGTCAAGCTGTCATGAGAGAAATATATAGATTGTCAATGATGACCCCCCACCTTCTGAAAAATGCTAGTTGTCTGGCTGTCATGATGATGCTTTGGTGTCAGTACTGTCTGAGTTGCTAACCTGAAAACAAATAATTATACAAGTAATTCTGTACAGCCAGGCTTGTGATTTCCACACATCTGCCATCCTGAATAGCCAGGCTGATGACACGCGTGTTTCCTGGCTGACAGATACAGCTCCCTGTGTTACCTCTCCACCTCCAGCTTAACAGGGTGGTGATCCAAAGAAGTAAAATTAAACCACGAGGTTGCAGAGTGATCGTTTTGGATGTGGCCGGAGTGTGTAAATCTTGTGGCAAGAGATTTACATAAACCTTTAACTTACTAAAACAGAAAACATTTTTTCATACGTGTTTTCCTAGAATTCCACTTTAATACCTTCTGCTGACCACAATTTTCCTTTCTATAGGTTAAACCTGAAGATTGATGTGACCTTGACCAAGACGGTAAGCTTGTTAAATGAGATGAGGTTCGCTCCTAATGGGGAGCTTTTTGCAAAGGTACCTTTTCCAAAGGGCCTGACGAAAGACACAGAGGAAGGATACTTATTACAGAGGTCCGTGCGCACTGCCCTGGTGGCTTCCAGCCCACAGCAGAGCGACAAAGTCTACGAAGTCCATGTGGAGACCAACAGCGACTTAGATAGCAGTGTTTTGCTCCGCTTCCCAGAACGCTGCTGCCGTGAGCTGTCCCTTCAACCAGAAGCCACCGCCAAACTGGAGATCCAATTCCAACTTGACCGGCTGCAATTCTGCATGTACCACGAAGCCATAGACCTACTGTTGGATGCGGCATTATTGCTGCCCGATCTAAGCAGTTGTTGCATGCCGACCTCTCAAGAGCAGATGTCCTGGGGCAACAACAAGCAAAAAATGGCCATCTCTTACATCACCGGAACAGTGACAGGGAAACAACCTGCGGCCCCACTAGTCATTTATGGCCCGTTTGGGACCGGAAAAACTTCGACCATAGCCAAAGCTGCACTGCAAGTGATCAAACAGGCGGGAACCAGGGTGCTGATCTGCACTCATAACAACAGGTAATGAGTGTTAGCAAACAGTGTATTAAAGCAAATTTTAACTGCAAATTTTATTTTAGGTTTAGACATTTTTAAAGTAATGGATTTTTTTTTTTTCACAGTGTTGATATACAATCTTTGTATTATAAATAGGTAATCTTTGTAAATCTTTGTATTATAAAAAAGAATTTAAATAGACAACATCAGGTAGGAGGAAATGTTGCAGCTATGATGACGCCATACCTGGACATGGAGCTCTCTGTCCAGGTAACAGATATGGTGTTGTTATAGCTGCAACATTTTTAATACAGCGTGTACCCTTGACATCCAGGGCATGATGGGTATTCTAAAGCACATTGGAAGCTGTTCATTTTTAGAATCTCTTTCCTAATTGAAACATTTTAAGGAGCCATCTTAAAGCGGAACCAAGATCTTGTTAAAGGAGAACTCTGGGGTCAGTGCTTTTCCCCATAGTTCTCCTAAGGGTAACGGGAGGACACAAACTAGCGTCCTCCCGTCACCCAAAGCTCAGTATACCGTGAGCTACAGCTCCTGGTATACTGAGACGCCGCAGCCGGAACGGATCCCGACAATTATGTCTGGATCCACCCAGCTGCGTGAGTGACAGCTGGCTCTGCCTATCTAGAGGCAGAGCCAGCTGTACCCGCACTGTGTACCCTTGACATCCAGGGCATGATGGGTATTCTAAAGCACATTGGAAGCTGTTCATTTTTAGAATCTCTTTCCTAATTGAAACATTTTAAGGAGCCATCTTAAAGCGGAACCAAGATCTTGTTAAAGGAGAACTCTGGGGTCAGTGCTTTTCCCCATAGTTCTCCTAAGGGTAACGGGAGGACACAAACTAGCGTCCTCCCGTCACCCAAAGCTCAGTATACCGTGAGCTACAGCTCCTGGTATACTGAGACGCCGCAGCCGGAACGGATCCCGACAATTATGTCTGGATCCACCCAGCTGCGTGAGTGACAGCTGGCTCTGCCTATCTAGAGGCAGAGCCAGCTGTACCCGCACCCTCCCCCGTCCGTTCCGCCAGTCATCGCTGGAGGATCGGATAGGGAGCATCCAGTCTCTCCCCTGTCACGGCTCTCTGCGGCACAGGATCAAGAAGTGAGCGAACGCCGGTATGTGTTCACTCACCTCCCGATCTACTGAGCCGATCTATGACAGTTTCATTGTCACAGGTCGGCAAAGATTATGAGGCTGAGTGAAAATCACTCACCTCATAATTCTCCTTTAAGGAAATGCCAATTGGAATACACACTAGAAATGTGCACCAGCAAATAATTTGTTTAGTTTCGTTTTGATTCGGATTTTGCGTTATTTAGGTCATCTTTTATTGCAGAAGATATTTCTGCTATAAATGTTTCTGCCTTACCTACTAGCAATTACCTTCTGATTGTACACCGAGCGCAGCTTAGCGTACATTCTCGGCATGCTGTTGGTGCTGGGATTAATGAACTCCTTGCACATGCTTGCAAAGATGCTAAACCCAGAGGAAACCCGGGCAAAGATGTCAGCGGCAGCGATGGAGAAACAAGATGGAACACAGAAGTTGTATCACTGGGGAAGGAAGCTTTGGCAGTAAGTGTGGACAAGGCTGACTTTAGTTCTGCTTTAAAAGGCATCTGGCAGGGATAGAGATGAGTCATTCTAATGACAAATTTACATGTGTGTAAATTTAAACATGAACTTTTAAACTTTGTAAACAGCTTTGTTTTGCAACAAAACAGGTAAGACAAGTCTTATAAATGTAATGTAACAACATGTGGGTTGTTAAAGGAATCCCCATGACTGACTGCAACTGATACAGTCCTGAATAGAGTTAGTGCAGGAATGGGATGATGAAAAATCTCATCTGTGCACTGTGACCTTTTGCTCTTTACCTCAGACTAATAGACTTATAGCCTACTATATATGGCACATTATCTTATATTTTATGGTCAGTTATAGAACGTGCATTACTCTTATTTATACAACAACTTACTATTCTCTTTTTTTCCCCTAGTGCTGCCGATCTGTATATTGAAGACCATTTTCATCCTTATGTGATAACTGGTCACCCAGAAGCCACTCCGCTGCGAGTGAAGTACACCAAAAGCCCCGTCAACAGGACAGCACTCATCACTTTACAGTATTGCATTCTCAGTGATGACAATTCTTGCTTTGTTAAGCCCACCAAGAGTCTTCTAGACAAGCACCGCATTGTTGTGACCACTGCTGTCATGGCCAGGGAGCTAGATGTACCCAGAGGTTATTTCACTCATATATTACTGGATGAGGCAGCGCAAATGATGGAGAGTGAAGCTCTCATACCATTAGCGTTAATGAACCACAGGACACGAGTGGTGGTGGCTGGTGACCACATGCAGGAGGCCCCAAAGTTCTTCCACCACACCAGTGTTGAAGAGCACACCCTACTTACCCGGCTCTTCACCTATTACCAGAGTAAAGACTGCCCAGCAGCTAAGAACAGCCGCATTGTCTTCCACCAGAACTACCGCTCAGTACCGGCCATTATCTCCTTTGTGTCTCGTTGCTTTTATGTTAGACATGACAATGCCATTGAGGCTTGTGCGGTTGAACCGATGGAACCTCCTCAAGGATGTCACGCCCTGGCCCTGTTCCATGTGCATGGTTATTGTACTCCCGAAGGCAATTCATGGAAAAATGTGTTGGAAGCTCAGCAGGTAGTGGAGACCGTCAACGATGTTCTTCAGCTTTGGCCAGAGAAGTGGGGAACAGTGAAAGGGGGCAAGATTTGCGTTGTGTCTCATGGGGCTCAGGTAAAATTATTTTAACATATTCCTAGTCTCTATAATCAAGGATCCAATGTTTAATGATCTTATGTGTATTTTTCTCCCTAGAGATAGAGACAGGACACCACTTTATTCTTTAGGGCCAATGTCACACTTGTGATTCTGTTACTGATGAGAGCTCGTCACCAACAGGTTTGCTAGAGTATACAGGAATAACACTCACCGGCTTTGTATGTGTCACTCCCTTGCCAGGCTTAAGCTGGCCATGCACCTATAGATTATCTGCAGATTTTCTTTGGTGAGATGGAAAAAGGGCAAAAGATTCCTCCATCTACGCTAAACTGTGTGCATGGAGGAATCTCCCGCTGGGCCAAGCTTCAGTATCTTGCTAGTCGGCCCCGCTGGCTGTCAAAATACCTGAACAATCTGATTGGATGCAGGCATTGTTCAGGTATTTTGAGAGCCAGCAGGGCCGACTAGCAAGATACTGAAGCTTGGCCCAGCGGGAGATTCCTCCATGCACACAGTTTAGCGTTGATGGAGGAATCTGTTGCACTTTTTCCATCTGACCATAGAAGATGAGCAGATAATCTAAAGGTGTACGGCCAGGTTTAGCAGCAAGGCATCGCTCCCTCTTTGCTGAAAACTCTGCAAGAGAGCAATGGTTTGTCATCCTGCCAGCGACACATGTAAGCAGGGAGTGTTTCACCTCCCTGCTGTGTCCTCCATAGTGATCCTCTGAAGAAGTTGTTGCCAGTGGCAAGTGTAGCATGGCTGAACAGTAAATGGTGTCATCTATGTGACTGTGCTGTGTTTTGGAACTGGGTTAAACTCCAGACAGGATGGACAGAAATACAAATCCCTTTTGCAAGTAAATCCCTTTCTTATGCTGTATGTATTTCAACTCTGTACTTGGCTGTTTGCCTGGAGGTTATATGTAAAAATGTACATATACCCAGAACTTGTATGTCCTAGTTTTGGATAGATGGGAAAGGGTTAAATCCAATTTCATGTTTTAGTTTGCTGTCTGGCAAGATTTCCCCTTTACTTCCTGTCCTGGAGATGTAATAGGAAATGAGAGGGAATCTGTTCAAATTAAGGGGAGATCCCAAGACAGTTGTCACTGGAAGATGTGCCCCTATTGGACCCTCCGGTCCTGGTGACAAGTCTAAAAATTTGGATTTATTCTCATTTTGTCTTGGTGCCAATAGTCACCAGGACCAGTGGAAGGGGTAATCTCAGCAGGAACACACACAGTAAAAAAAAAAATTGGAAGAGGGTGTAAACCTTACCCAAAATGAAAACAATTGCTTTGTCTTCACGAAAACATTATTGTATATTAATTTCTAATATTGGCACAGGTTGAGGTGGTGTGATAAAGGTTGGTGCATACATGGACCCTGAAATGATTTGCTGCTGGTTATATTTGTTTATAGTTACACCTCATCGCTTATCCTCTGCAGGTAAAACTCATACGTCAAGAGCTGCGCAAAGTACGACTGCGTGATGTCAATGTGACCAACTATGACAACATCCTTGGTGAGTTCCCCGTACCAACTTTTTAGTCTTTAATTTTACTGGGATCCAATGCTGCATGCAAAATGTTTTATTATGAACACCAAGGAGCTTTTATTTACCTAAAGTGTGTATTAGACATGTGCGATTTGTTTCGTTTCAAAACGAAATTCGGACATTTGGATGTATCCGAATTCCGAATTACAGCTGTAACGAATGCAAACGAATCCAAATTTCCGTTTCCGAAATTCATTAGCGGTAGTCAGGACGAAATTCCGTTTGTTGAACTAAATTTCCTTGCAGCAAAATGACATTTGAGGAAAAATGTTTTTTTCCCCTCGAATGTCACTTTGCTGCAACGAACGAATGAAACGAAACGAACATTCGTACAGACTACCGCTAACGAATTTCGTCCGAATCTAATTGATTTTCGGACCCGAATCCCGAAAAACGAAATAACGCAAAATAGGAATCAAAACGAAACTAAACAAATTATTTGCTGGTGCACATTTCTAGTGTGTATTCCATTTGGCATTTCCTTAAAGGAGAACTATGAGGTGAGTGATTTTCACTCAGCCTCATAATCTGAGCCGACCTGTGACAATGAGACTGTCACAGATCGGCTCAGTAGATCGGGAAGTGAGCGAACACATACCGTCGCTCGCTCACTTCTCGATCCTGTGCCGGCAGAGAGCCGTGACAGGGGAGTGACTGGATTCCCCCCTCCCCTGTCCAATCCTCCAGCGCTGACTGCCGGAACGGATGGGGGAGGGGCGGGTACAGCTGGCTCTGTCTCTAGATAGGCAGAGCCAGCTGTCACTCACGCAGCTGGGTGGATCCAGACATAATTGTCGGGATCCGTTCCGTCTGCGGCGTCTCTGAGCTTTGGGTGACGGGAGGACGCTAGTTTGTGTCCTCCCGTTACCCTTAGGAAAACTATGGGGAAAAGCTCTAACCCCATAGTTCTCCTTTAAAGATAAGTGACTATTGCTCAGTGAAACAACAAAAAGTTTCCCAGCACACTCACCATCTAGCCTGCAAAAAAACACTGTCTAACTAATACAGTTTAAAACGGAGGTCTTAGTTGCACGTCCTCTGCAGAATATGTGGAAGCCACACTGCCTGGTCAAGGGCCCCCCTCTATAGTGCGGTCCTAACTCTAACTTCTGAGAGCCTCCATTTTGGAGCATATATAGCAAAGGATGAATTGGGTGCAGGTTCGCCAGGATACCATAGGCAGAGCCAGCTGTCAGTCACGCAGCTGGGCGGATCCCGGCACAATTGTCGGGATCCGCTTCAGCTGCGGCGTCTCAGTATACCGCGAGCAGCTACAGCTCGCAGGTTTACTGAGCCTAGGGTGACGGGAGGACGCTAGTTTGTGTCCTCCCGTTACCCTAAGGAGAACTATGGGGAAAAGCCTTAACCCCATAGTTCTCCTTTAAAGCTGGCTATGAATAGATGAGTGCGTTTGCCATTGGTTTTGCTTGTTCAGTTAAAGTACAACTAGACTCATGAAAATGAGACACTGGATTCAAATTCTCAGCAATTTAGTCAGACTATAACAAGGCATAGCTGCTTTGGCAAAATTGCTCTTCACAAAACAGGCCACCCCCTTAAAAAGAAAACGCAGAGACACAAATGTAGGAGGATTTGGCTTAGTCTAGGAAGGTAAATGAAGGTTTTTGTTTATTTTATGAGGCTTGTGCATCCCAAAGTGTCTGGTTTTGACGCTTGTTTAGGCTGTCATAAAGGAGCATTTACAGTAGTTGTACTTTGTGCACAAAGTCCAATCAGAATGCCAAACAAAAGGTCCAAGAGTCTGAATTCGTCCAATATTAGTTCATCCTGGTCCTCACATGTAATTATTGTCTTCATAGCTCATCTTCACAAGCCTACCTCATATCATTTGTTTTGCAGGTCAAGAGTTCCTTGTCATCATTCTGAGTACCGTTCGATCCATTGACAGCCTCCCTACTCATTCTCCCGCCTCTTCCACTTTCAGCCTGGACTTTTTCTGTGATCCACGAGTTCTAAATACCATCCTAACACGTGCCCGTGCCCAGGTCATTGTAGTTGGGGATGTAGTGGCTTTATGTTCTTTTGGGGCTTGTAGTCGTATCTGGAAGAGCTACCTGCGGGAATGTGTGGAGGCAGGCAGTGCTTCTCCACCAGACCTCAGCGTGGAGGGGATAAAGCAGATGGCTTCAGACCTGCAAGCTTGGAGGCAAGAGGAGGAGGAAGAAGATGCTGAGGAAGACAGCGACTCTTGGACAAGTGATGTGGATATCAATGCAGAAGATGCCATTCTTCAAGAACTGTTAGACAGTAAAGATGAGGCATATGTGACAGTGTCTGCTGAAGGAATGTTGGAAATGAGACCAACAGAGAGTTCCAGAAATGATGTAGACAAATACATAAGCTTTCCCACAGACACACTTGAAGGATGCCTGAAGATGCAGCCCAACATATACAAAAAGTGTCAATTAGTGAAGGAATCTTTCGATCGTGGCTATGCCGTAACCCTTGATGACCACACACCCCGTCATATTTCTATTAATGGGCGACAGAACTGTGGTATGGGATTTAATGGTGATCTGGTTGTCGTTCAGTTGTTTCCAGATGTCCGTCCAGATGCAGGAAAAGTTGTTGGAGTCCTTGAACCAGGTGAAAAAATGCGGCGTTTTGTTTGCCGTGTAGAGAATTATGACTGTAACATCATGGTCCCTGTTGACCGAACTGTCACTAAGATTTTCTGTAAAAATTTTAAAGAAAAGCCAAACTGTATTCCAATCCGTAAATTTCAGAATGGTCGCATCACTACTGTAAAGTATGAGAAGGTAACACAGGAGATCAGATGGAATACTCTTTTTCTGGTACAGGTAGTCAAATGGCGGGAAGGTTTCTACTACCCTTTGGGAATTGTAACTCAAGTTTTTCCACCCAATTTTATCCTGGAAAAGGGACTAGAAATACTAGACTTAGAATATGGGATTGAACATAGTGATGTGTATCCGAAAGAGGCATCAGAAGAAGCCAATAAACTGTCAGAAACGATAGAGACAAAAGACAGAAAGGATTGCAGGGGATTGTTAACCTTCACCGTGGATCCTCCCTATGCCAATGATTTGGATGATGCCATCTCCGTACAGGAGCAAGGTGATTACTATGAGATTGGCATTCACATCACAGACCTTGCAGCGGTAATTCCCCAAGGTGGTCACTTAGACAAAGAAGCTAAAAGGAGAGGTGTCACCTTCTATTCTCCTACATCTGACCCTGTCCACATGTTGCCACACAAACTGTGCTCTGAACTTTGCAGTTTGAAGCCAAAATGTAACCGGATGGCAATTTCCCTCTTTGTACTGGTGGAGAAAGTAAGTGATCAAATGGTGGATGGTCACTTTTGCCGCTCTGTGATCTGCTCTGACCATCAGCTGTCATACAATGAAGCCAATTTAATTCTGGAAGCTGAACGTGATAGGCCGCGGACATTTGACACCATAGAGGGTTGCCTTTGTATTGCAGAACACTTCTCAAATATCCACCGGACCTTCCGCCTGGAGAAAGCGGCCAATTACAAGCAGCCTGATGAAGGCTGTTTGCCAGGATCCCGGGATGCGCAGAGGATGATTGAGGAGCTCATGATCATGTACAACAGTTGGGTGGCCGAGTATTTGACAAACAAAGATGAATGTATGAATCTGACACCAGTACGATGCCAGAACGCTCTAAGCCTTCAGAAAATTGAAGAGATGAGGAAAAAATTTGAACACCTTTTACCTTTATCTGCCTATTTGACACATCATCTACTGGTTGAACCTGAATTACCAAGGCCATCATCAAGTCAAAATGTTACCATGTTATCTTCAGTATGGAATCAACTGAAGGATACTACTACCAGCCATTCCACAATTAGAGACCTTCTCTCCACAGATGACTTGCATCCAGAATTGAGCAACGCTGTTCGGGAATTTAGAAGTCAGCTTGGTCGCTCTTATTTCACTCGTTCTGGCACTCCAAATGCCAATGGTCATTACTCCCTTGAACTTTGTGACTACACATGGGCCTCTTCACCTCTCCGCAGGTACATAGACATTGTGGTGCAAAGATTGCTTCAAGCAATCCTCAGAGATCAGCCAGGCATAGCCTTGAAAATGAATCACAAGGACATGAATTTGCTGTGCCTTGACTTTGACAGGAAGGCTAAACGCGAATCATCATACGAGAAGAGAGCACATGCGTTGAAGTTAGCTTTATCATTACACACCGTGGCACAGCAAAAGGTGGCGGTGTTAATGCAACTTGACGCTAGGAATCGAAGTTTTAAGGCAGCCTTTCCATTAAATGGAGACTCTCTTCCCAGCCCGATGATGCTGGATTACAGTCATCTTCAACCTGAGAAACAGCCAGTGCCTACTGCAAATGGCTTACGTTTGACGTGGAGACGCCGTGTGTACTCCTACAATTATTACAAGAATGATCCTCTCATAAATCTACCAAGGACCGACATAGTCTCTTTTGATTCCCATACCTGGCATGAAGCAATAAGATTCATAAATCAAGGAGAACCGGATAGAGCTATAGTGTTATTAAGCCGCAATAAAGGAAACAATTCTGACCCCATGAGCTTTGTGACTCGCAGCAGCTGCGGGCATTATATGGAAATAACTCTTGAACTGAAGGCAGGGAAACCTCTTCCTATCCAACTCTGCACCGTTATTGAACGGGGTTTTCCGAGCGCAGGTCCCCAGCTTTGCACTCTGGCCCCAGGAATCCATCTCTGCTTGGAGCATACAGCTCGACCCATTGAATGCTTCTCCAGCAAGGCCAAACGAGCGCCTCTTAAAACCTACGCCAATGTAAAGGATTATCAGACGGTGTGGCTGCCACTGTGTGCCATGGAAGCAGCGGAGTCTGCTGTGAGAGAGGGCACACCTATACTGCTGAGAGATGTGCCTGTCAAGTGGAAGCAAGAAGGAAATTCTAAGGAAGCTGTGGGACTGATAGGCTCTTTTACCTTGACCCCTATACTCATTAAAGAATGTGAGCTGGAGATTGATTTTCAAAATTGCTACCTGTGTGTGCGCTTGGAAGGACTGCCAGCCAAGTCACAAAATCTTTCAGATCTGGAGACCTACACGTGGGTGGCCCATGGCCTAACAAAATACAGCAGTTCCATCTCTAAAAAGGAAGGTGGTCATGTTGACTTTCAGTTACACCAGTGTAGCATGAAGGAAGTTCCTGAGAAAGCCCTGAGATCTACAGATCCCTTTACTATGGAGATCATACCTAAGCTGTTGCCGGACATGTAAGCATTATGGTTATCCATCTTTTCTGTATGTCTGCCTCTTGACTTGCTTATGTCTTTGTTTATCTTTTTTATTGTATCAACTTTATTCAATATTTTTTTCTGTGTGTGTCTATGTCTCATATTAGTATTAAAGGAGTAAAAACCCCACCCATTGAGTGTAAAATTCGGTAAATTTCATCCCATTAGATACAGTGTTTTTGCACTTTTGCAGTCAAATTTGGGAAAACCCCACTATATGTTTTGTATGTGTTCCCATTCACACAGCATACTTAAAAATATTATATATA